CGGAATTTTATCCTTGCCTTCAAGGCTTGCAAATACTAATCTTATCTTAGTTGCTGGATACGAGCACGTGATTGCAGCCTTCAAGCGAAGCTGTAGAAGTTTCTTTGCTGGATCTATTCGGACACTGCCTTTTCAAGGGGATCAGCAATCTACAGCATCGCTTGAACGTTGCAATCGCGGACCCATTTTCCGTCCTCCCCCCTTTCTGGTCCCTTATTATGACTAAGAGCTGACCTTTCGGTCCCTTAACACCTCTCCCCCGCTCTCTCTATTAACTAATGATTGATTGTATAAACTATTGTTACCTCTACCCTCCATTATATTTTTGTACTTGCTGATGATGATAAATTGAAACTGTTCGTTCGCTTAACTTTACTTTCTAAAAAACAAATGTTGCTAGGATATAGAATGTAGTATTCTTTTTGTACTTCTCGGGCGTCCCAATGAGAGCGGTCTGGCGGAATTGTAGCGCGCACTCCTATATCGGTCCAGTTTCCGCTTAAATACCTCCAATGGTTCCGGTATAGCGACATCCAGTGACATAGAATTCCAAACCTCGATCACTCGGAGAAAAAGAACTTCCGCGTGTCCAGCTTGGTCCCAGTCACAGGTAGCTTCAGTGGATAACCTCTCAAGTTCGTTGTTGTTGCTAATTTAAAAAAATCTCCTGATACAACGCAGCAGTCTTGAACACTTAAGATGCGGAATGTTAGTATCACTCCCCCTCCCCGAAGCTGTCTGTAGCTCAAGGGAAAGATATTAAGATAAGACCGTCATGTTTCATATGTTAGAGAGCCCCGACCAATAACAAATTTGGTCGTTTTTATTTCGATTTTTTCGAGGATTTTGAGGTGTTTCGCGGCCAAGGGTCTGCAATTTTGGATAGAAAACTTCAGCTGCACGAAGGTTCCGAAGACTTTGACGAAGCAGACATCATCAAAGGCAATCGAAACTATCAGAAAATTCCATTGTACATGATACTCTTCAACACGAAACACAGGACACAATGAGTATGCATTCCCCTACCTTTCGCCGAGGGCCTGGGCCGTTCTGATTAACTTGGAAGAGTTCAACAGGGACGGGTTTCAAGTCATGCTCCGTCCTTAACGGCGTTATTACTGGGCAGTCCTCCCAGTAAGGCATTAGGTTAAAGAACGGACCACAACCCGTTCGTGTGCAAAGGAAATATAGGACAACCGATATATAGATCATACTTCGGGTTTGATGTCAGTACGCGCGCGTATTTACGGCTGTAGAATCTGAACCTCTCTGCACTAGGGCTCCCGTAGGGAATTTTTGTGAATTCACTGGCTTGAAATGATAATCTGTTTTCTATATTTCATCAGGACGCAAGATGGATTTCGCTCTTTCGAAATGAAGCAAATATGCGTGCCCCAGGTTCTTGTTGTAAAGAAGAAGAAGAAGACACGATCTCTGGAACGGCAGTTTTATTTTTCTGAGCTTTCGGCTCCACATTAGAGGGCATCGTCAGAGAAAAAGAGAAAGCAGCAAACGTTGGGTACGCATAAATGGGGGTGGGGGGGATGGCACTTGTGATTGGTCTATGCTCACGCCATCTTATCGTGTCTCTCTTAGCGCGCTTCATGGCGTGCGACCTTGGCGTGTTTTGCGTCCTTGGTGTGGCAGTCTGCGTGCTTGGATAAGAACTGGGCCGTGGTTTCTGGTCGCGAGCACAGATGGCAAAATAACAAGGTGGTATATTTACATGCCTGTTGAGGGAGTCGGAGTCTGATACCCAGGCCTCCAGCAGTTCTCGCCCCGTCTTATTAGCAGCGCGTGCCATTATCCGTGTGCCCGAGAAGTCAAATTAGTGGTCTTCTTCCAGAGTGTGGGTAGAAATCTGGGACAGTGGGGCGCCTCTCCGCACTGCTCGTTTGTGCTCCGTTATTCGCGAGCTAAGGCGTCGCCTGCTCTGCCCTCTATAACGGCAAGAGCAGTCGCGACATGGCACCTGATAAATGACGCCAGACTGCTCACGTATCTCCAGTTGGTCTTTGATTCGCATGACTCGTGCACGCATGGTAGCTGTCGAATGATGAGCGATACCCACGCCGACTTCCGCGGCGAAACTTTCAGTTGCTTCTGATACTTTTCTTATGTACGGCAGCGGGTGCCAGGGCGTTGGTGGCTCTCTTTCGTTTATGTCCCGTTGGCTCGTACGGAGGCAGCGGCTGACGAAACTGTTTGGGTATTCATTCCTGGCCAGCTGGTCCCAAGGATGTCGTAGTTCTTGCACTCGCCCGTCAGGTTCACTGCAGTGTGTCTTCACCCTCTGAAAGAGTTCTCTAATACAGCCAGGTGTATGCGCTATTGGGTGGTTGCTATGGGCGCTGAGCACCTGGGTTGTATCAGTCGACTTTCTATAAACCGTGGTGCTGAGTTCCCCGTTGGGCCTGCGCATGACGAGGACATCCAGGAACGGCAGTTGTCTGGCACTCTCTTCTTCCTTTATGAATTGGATGTCGGGGAAGATGCCGTTAAGCAGGTTTTGGAAGTCTGCTAGCCTGCTCCGTTTGATTATAACGAAAGTGTCGTCCACGTATCGGCACCAAAATGCAGATTCGAATTGATCGAAGGCGACTTTATCCAGCTCCTGTAAGACTAGTTCTGCGATGAGACTGGAAATTGGGGATCCAAATTTGGTCTGTTCGTATGTTCTGCCATTAAACGTGAAAAAGTTTCTTTCTCAGAAAACAAAGAATTGCAAAAGATGGTCAGTTTTTAGAAGACCCCTCGATTCGTCGTATTTCTCTTCGAGTCGTTTGAGTAGGACGTCCAGTGCCAGGTCCGGTGGGATAGATCTGAATAGTGAAACGACATCAAAAGATACGATGGTTTGATCTGGTTGAACCGTTCTTCCCCGGATAGTGGCTAGAAATTGGGAGGCCAAATTGTTTGAAGTCGTCGAGCCCTCTCGGAGAAAGTTTAGCTTTGTTGACGTCCATTTGGATATGTTGCAAGTAGGGCTGCCTTTCGATGCCACGATCGGCCGAGTGGAACGTTAAGCTTGTGGACTTTGAGCAATCCGTAAAACTAGGCCAGTGTTGTGTCGGTTGGTTTATTTTGTTGCCATTCGTCTTGCGATATCACGCTGCTGCGTCGGAGTCGGTTAAGGAGAGCGGTAAGCTGGCTGATCATCCATTTAGCCTATGAGGTCCATCAGGACTGTTCCTTATCCCTTGTCGGCCGGTACAACTATTATATCGTTATTTTTAATCTCTTCGCTCTTTAGTAAAACGCTTGGTTGTGTCTCCTTATTCGACAGAAGGTATGAATTTATGTCCGTAAAGAAATGGTCCGAATGTTTCGGGCATTCGTTTAGCAGACGTCATTGCCGTCGTCATAGCTTTTGCCGGAAACATCCAAACATCCGCTCGGAAAAAATAACCAATCACCGAACAGTGCTGCTGACCAATAGGAAACATCGCAGGGCCTCTAAAAGGACCTGCGCGACCCGGACAGGCGGTTCAACACTTTTCTCCTTATCAGCCGTCTTGGGAGTGTGGTTTGCACGTACTGTCGTGCTTTCGTTGTCCAATTTACTTGTTGTTGAACGAATTTGTAAGGTAATGGAGACAACAGTGTTGGAAGCAAACCATTCCAATGGACTACCAACCTTCCAAAAGCGTAGCCTATTCAATTTGTTTGAAGTTCTTTTTAACAGGAAATCAGAGGTTAGTTTTACTTCAGTCATTTCCTTTATTCAGTCCTTAGCAATGCCATCAGTTGCATATCAAAAATCCCGATGCAGTGAAAAGGAAGCTTACTCGCATAATTGCACTGGGTAAGAACAACCTTCAGGTAGGAGTGTTAAAGTATGCTTCATTTGCCTCGCAGGTGATATCTGACTTTGACTGGACTATGTCGAAGTTCTATAACAAAGGCGACCGTACCCCCTCCTGTCACGGAATCTTTGAGCTCTCCCCCGAGATGACACCAGAGACACGGAACCAGGTAAGTCCTACGAGGTCGTCTAAATGAATCACTTTCAAAAGTTACGTTATTTGCGACAGGCCTATCGCCCGGTTGAAATAGATCCAACGGTTCCGGTTACCGTGAAGATTCCAGTCATGTTGGAGTGGTGCGATTTAGCACACAAAGTGATCGTGTCGTCCGGTATACATAAAGATATACTTAAGACAACTGTTAACGAATGCAGCATTGCCTTAAGGTATGTTTCCATTTTCCAGAAACTACATCACTTTTACCAGTTAATTTGATTTTTGCTTAGACTTTAATTTATTGTGTCATCTATTCTAAAGTTTTGTCTGTATTATTCGTCTTGCTAATATTTTTAAGCAGTTTCAATTGCCGGACGCAGATTCTCTTTCCGCGGTCCATAATTCTTCACTTTGTCTTCCACGTGAAATTGTCATGAAGCCAGATATGGACATAAGTCGCCTAAAAGATACTTGTACGTGCGGATATTTAACTTCAATTTTAGCTGAGCATGTAGTTTTCCATGTAATCGTACGACTTGCAATACCCCAATTTGCTCCTATTTTCGTGCATTGTCAAGCCCGATTCCACATTAGTATCAGGCTTACCTGGTAAGCCAACCTGCTCGTGGTTTCAGTGTTCACGGAATACCGAATAGTAGGACTTCTGTCGACGCAAACTACTTGCCAACTAGGCAGGGGCTCTCAGAATTGACGGTCGTGGATCGGCAGTGTCAGTGCTTCCAGGTAGCTTAAGACTGATGTCTTTCACACTGACTACTTCATTGAAAAAGAAAGCTCTATAATTAAATGACCTTTTGGTCGTAAATCACCCCTGTGTAGATATTATTGCGGAAGAGTTAGATATGCCATGATGTCGGTTTTTGAGTGCATTGCTTTTCGGCTGCATTATTAAGTTGTGCTTTTTTTCTATTGATTTCCATGGCCCCTTAAAGTCGAATACATTTTATCGAACGAATCCTCACTAATAATCTTTATTCTACTTATTCAAAAAATAATCACGTTTTCTTCAAACTTAATACTCGAAGAAAGGCTGTATTGAGGTTTTAAATAAGTTTCGGTTTATGCTATGTTTAAGACCATACAGTTTCCATTAAGATAGCGCCATAGCCGCCCATTTATTAAAGCTCCTCCTCTAATTAGGATTCTGACGCCGTGACGCTGTACAAGCGAGATGAAATCTTGTTTGGTTCACATCGCATCTAAATTTGTTAGTTTTCTTCAGCTTCTCTTATGTGAACTTCAGACAGGCCTTATAGCATAAGTAACTTTCTCTATTTTTTTTCATTTCAGGGACTATGTAGGAGACTTCATGACACAGCTACACAGGGAAAATATTCCACTGCTGATATTTTCTGCCGGTCTTGGTAACGTTATAGAACTGCTTCTGGAACGTTTTCACTTGTACTTCGAGAACGTTCGAGTTGTCGCCAATATCATGGATTTTAACGACGAGGTACTTCACCGCTGTACTTAATCGATATATGTAGTTCATTTTATTCACAATGTCCTCATTTCCGAAAACCTAGCAAACTTCAGGCTAGAGCTGCTACCGGGAAGTCCAAAAGAACCGTACCTTTTGGTTAATTCGATTGTTTAAGCCACGTCTGGCCCGTAAGATTGCAAGAACCCGATTTTCTGCCCCTTCTAGGCAGGTAATGAAATTGATTGCCCGTTGAGACATGCCTCGGTAAAGCTGGCTAAGGTAGCATGGGCACCTTATTTACGTTTAATGTGACTTGTGAACGTATTTTGGGTATTCTTACATTACATGGGATCCAAACATTGTTTATTCTCTGAGCAGTCCACTCTCCCCTCTCATTTTTTTAACTAAAGAATGGCATGATAGTCTATTTTAGGTGAATTGTGATTTCATCGACAGTTATTTTTTTCTTGGACACGGGCTGTTGCCTGACACTTTTGACGATAAGTGCGAGAAGAGGGGTTCCGCATCTTCGCTTAGAAATAGACTGTTAGCTAGTTTTGTCACTGTGAACAGTGACTACCAAGTGTTTAAAGGTCATTATACAATTTACTTGTTTTATTGCCAACATGCTGCTGATCATTTTATCTAGCGAGTTTCAAGTTAAGAAGGCGTCATGTCTCAACCCGACTTCTACACAAAAACAGAATTCTAGTCCTGTACTAGCAATGTACGTTTGAATTTTGTTCGTAGGAAATCTTGTGTAGGATTGCAAAATCGGAACTAAATAATTCTGAATAGGGATTCTCAGACACGTTACTCAGTAGTCGCCTGTAGAATTCAACATTTCTGACAAATTAAGCGGTTTTGAATGAAGGAAAGGAATTGCAAAAGAGTGTTTTCAAATAAAAGGCGTTTTTGATGCCTTCTTTTAGGGCCTGCTGGTTGGATTCAAAGAACCTACAATCTTCACTTTAAACAAAACCATCTCAACGATTTCTAACACTGCTTACTTCAAGAAGGCTTTGTCGAAACGTTCATCCATAATTCTGTTGGGTGACTCCTTAGTCGATCCATACATGGCGGACGGTATTCCCGGAGAAAGTGTGGATTCCCATGTGAATATTTTGAAAATCGGCTTCCTTAACAGCAAGGTAAGTAAGCAAGCTTTTCAAAACCTTTCCTTGGATTTGTTTTGGTAATGCTTATTGTAGCTCAAAATT